CCTCATCTTCCTGGCCATGCCTAGGTCAGCAACCTTGAGTACCCCCACTCCCCCTCTCTAACCCCTCAAAACCCTAAACCCTCGAAAACCCTCGAAAACCCTAAACCCTCGTAAACCCTAAACCCTACCTGCAGGCTGCTGAGCTAGCAGGGGCCTCATCTTTCTGGCCATGCCTAGGTCAGCAACCTTGAGGACCCCCACTCCCCCTCTCTAACCCCTCAAAACCCTCAAAACCCTAAACCCTCTAAAACCCTAAACCCTCGTAAACCCTAAACCCTACCTGCAGGCTGCTGAGCTAGCAGGGGCCTCATCTTCCTGGCCATGCCTAGGTCAGCAACCTTGAGTACCCCCACTCCCCCCCTCTAACCCCTCAAAACCCTAAACCCTCGAAAACCCTCTAAAACCCTAAACCCTCGAAAACCCTAAACCCTACCTGCAGGCTGCTGAGCTAGCAGGGGCCTCATCTTCCTGGCCATGCCTAGGTCAGCAACCTTGAGTACCCCCACTCCCCCTCTCTAACCCCTCAAACCCCTCAAAACCCTAAACCCTCAAAAACCCTAAACCCTCGTAAACCCTAAACCCTAAACCCTACCTGCAGGCTGCTGAGCTAGCAGGGGCCTCATCTTCCTGGCCATGCCTAGGTCTGCAACCTTGAGTACCCCCACACCCCCCCGCAGCAGCTCTTCTCCTTCCTTTACTTTTGCTGCCGCAACCAAAATATTTTCGGGTTTCAGGTCGCGGTGTATAACACCACGACCGTGTAGACGAGCTACACCTGAATACTCACACAAACCCTAAACCCTAAACCCTAAACCCTAAACCCTAAAACCTAAACCCTAGAAAATGAATTATAAATATAAACATATATATCTTTATTTTATTAAGTATAAAGATCAATTAATAATTAGCGAAAAAAAATGAAAAAAAAAAAAAAAACACAAAAACCCTAAACCCTAAACCCTAAACCCTAAACCCTAAACCCTCATGATCATACCATTAAGAAGCTGCCAAGCATAGAATTTGAGTGTAGAATGATTAATTTTATTTTGTTGATGGAGGAGACGAACAAAAGAAGCAAAGTCTGAGTAGCATCTCTCTACTATAAGAACAGCAGCTGTCTGTACACCCGAAAGATATACATCAGCAAAGGGTTTAGATAAATGTATACATGTATTCACACCATAAACCCTCAATATATTTATAAACCCTAAACCCTCATATTCAGGTGTATGCACATCTCCATATAAAGAAAACTCCCTTAATACATCTGCTGTTGCTCCCTCTCGCTTATAGTGAGGCAGCAGCAGCAGCNATATAAAGAAAACTCCCTTAATACATCTGCTGTTGCTCCCTCTCGCTTATAGTGAGGCAGCAGCAGCAGCTTAGCTGCGTATCTCTCGCCCCCACCTCCTGCTGCTGCTGCTGCTGCTGCTGCTGCTGCTCCTGCTGCTGCTGCTGCTGCTGCTGCTGTTGTTGATGAGGAGGAGGATGACGGGCATTCACCTGTAGATTGATCTGCTGCAGTTCCTGCTGCTGCAGTTGCTGCTGCTGCTGCAGCAGCACTTTGCTGCTGCGACGCAGCTGCATCTGCAGCAGCAGCAGCACTCCCCCCTCCACCCCC